TAGAAAGATGGGCTGTTGCTAACTTCTCAGCTCGCTGTGATGTAAATGGCCTTGTCAGGGATTTGATTAAAGTTGGAGAAATGAAAGGAATTGTATGTTCTGCCAGTTTATATTGTGCTTACTATTTGCCTTATGAAATTTATTGAAAATCTATTTTAATTCTTTCCGTGCTATCTTCAGAGTGTGGAGCCTCCATTTGATGTCTTTGAAGAGAACCCACAATATAGACGGGCTCCACCGCTTGTTCGGGTGGAGAAGATGTTTGAAGATATTCAAGCGAAACTTCCTGGGGCGCCCAAATTCCTTCTTTGTTTGCTTCCGGAGAGAAAAAACTGTGACATTTACGGTTTGTTGAATAATTGCTGTGATTATAAATTACCCATAAAAGTTATATAACATAAACAAAACTTTCAAGGTCCTTGGAAGCGGAAAAATTTGGCTGATTTCGGGGTTGTTACTCAATGTCTGGCACCTACCAGAGTTAATGATCAGTATCTGACAAATCTTCTACTGAAGATCAATGCAAAGGTAAGGCGCTCAATGAAATTGTAGGTTGTGTTAAAAATTATGAGATTTTGCCTTGATAATTTCAAAAGTGTGTACTTATATGTTCTGTCTCTTGCATTTTTGTTTTGGCAGTTAGGTGGCTTAAATTCTATCTTGGCCATTGAACAAACTCCGTCTATCCCAATGGTATCCAAGGTTCCAACCATAATACTTGGTATGGATGTGTCACATGGCTCCCCTGGCCAGTCTGATATCCCATCAATTGCTGCGGTAAAGTGCTCCCATTTGTGTCTGGATGATATGTAGTTTTTTCTACTCTTCTAATTATTGCAAACTGCTCTGTGTTTTCATTTTAAACAGGTTGTCAGCTCGAGACAATGGCCATCAATTTCTCGTTACCGAGCATGTGTTCGCACCCAGTCCCCAAAGGTTGAAATGATTGATTCTTTGTATAAGCGTGTATCAGACACTGAGGATGAGGGCATAATCAGGCGAGTTTTTTGTCTTGAGTTCGCATAATTAAAGCAAAGCTTGTTTTAATAGCCATTTTTGATAGTTAAAAGTTTTGTAACTACACACATGTATACAGGTAACTAATTGAATCATGATTTGAACTGCAGGGAGCTTTTGCTTGATTTCTATGTCAGCTCAGGAAAAAGGAAGCCCGACCAGATTATCATTTTCAGGTAAATTGTTGTTGTCCAGGTTCTAAATATAATGTTGCTTGCTCAAGCACATTTGATAATTTACTTATTAAGCCCTTGTTTGATATTGACCTAACTCGTTAACATCTCAAGTCAAAGTCAATAATCAATTTTAATCAAACATTTCATGGGACTCAACTTTTCAACCACACATTTTGTCAACTTTTATCAAAATGTACTAAAAATCCAATTTTAATCTAAACCAA